GCACCGTAGGCCGAGGGGCTGGCGTGCCTCCCCGGCGGCAGTGCTCCAGCCGCCGGCCTTGCTCCGCGCCTCCTTTTGCGCATCTGCCTTTACGGCCAAAAAGCAAAGAAAACGGCGTCCGCGTAGCTGTCCTGTTCTCCGCGTGAAAGTGACTCCCTGCAGAGAGGGTGCTCCGATTCCTTCAGCTGTGCCTCCGGTCCCACTTACGTCGTCTAAAAGAGGGGCCCTGGTCTCACAGCTGGGACCGCACAAAAAAGCAGTTTGTAGTGACAGTTTCATCACTGCAGCCATGGAAAACATGATCGGAAGCAAAAGCTAAAGCGTACTTCTCAATTTGATAAAGCTTAATCATATGCTTGCTTTGAGCTGTTTGGATTTGAGATGGTGGAAACAAGGCGCGTTTCCTGTTTGCCCCTTGTTATCTGGAAATTTTTTTTCTGTCATCAGCATCTAAAGAAAAACGATGGAACAGCCTCTGACTTAAGTAATTTGTATATTTTTAAAATGTTTGCCTCGATTTCCATAAATGGTTTTTCAAGTCAGATGTTCCTTTTTTCCTCCCTGCTTGAAACTGCATTCAACAACCTCAGCAGTCAAGAGTAGCTCCCATTGTAACAAACCTGGCAGAGAACTTGGATTAAAGAAATGAAAGTGTTAGATTTGTAGGATCTCACAAGCCATATCTATGTATCTACTTATTTTAAGCGCTCACTACTTCAAATTTTCTTGTCTTTACTTTTGTATAAGTGCTTATTCTTTCTTACAACTTTAGAGTCTTGGACAATAGCTTGTGGTTTGAAACTTCATGTGGCATACACCATTTTTCATTGTGTCTTTCATTGGCTGTGCCTTTATTAATAGATGTTTTATTTTATTGGTCTAGGTAACTTTTATAGTTCTTTCTTACAGTTCTTTGTAAGTTCTCTCTTTGGATTTTGGGGTTTTATTTTGATTAAAAAAAACCACAACAATACCCATCATCTTATGTGCATCCTGTAGCAACATTTTAACTCTTGAAAGGGTGATGTTTGTTTTGCAGATTCTGATTCTGGATCTGAATCTGATTCTGATCAGGAGAATGCTGGCTCTGGTAGTAATGCTTCTGGAAGTGACAGTGACCAGGATGATGACAGGGAGGCAATAAAACCCAGTAACAAGGAGTTATTTGGAGATGATAGCGAGGATGAAGGGGCATCCCATCACACAGGGAGCGACAACCACTCTGAAAGATCCTACAATCGATCTGAAGCGTCAGGACATTCTGAGCATGAAGATAATGATCAGTCAGACGTGGACCAGCACAGTGTTTCAGAAGCTGCTCATGATGATGACGAGGATGATCGCGGGCATGGGTCAGACGAAGGCAGTCATCATTCAGAGGGAGATGGTTCTGAAAAAGCACATTCTGAGGATGAGAAGTGGGGCAAGGAGGACAAAAGCGATCAGTCAGACGATGAAGAGAGACAGCAGAATTCTGATGAGGAGGAGAGACAGCAGAACTCTGATGATGAGGAGAAAGTGCAGAACTCTGATGAAGATGAAAGGCCACAGATGTCTGATGATGAGGAAAGACTCCAGAACTCGGACGAGGAGAAAATGCAGAACTCTGATGATGATGAGAGGCCACAGGTCTCAGATGAGGAGAAGATGCAGAACTCTGATGATGATGAAAGGGCGCAGCATTCTGACGAGGAGAAAATGCAGAACTCTGATGATGATGAAAGGGCCCAGCACTCCGATGAAGAGGAGCAAGAGCATAAATCTGGTAGGACTGAATATGGTGGTAATGATTTGTTTCTGGTTTGATCTCTCTTTATTGCTTCATTTATATTGGCCTGAAACGATGCAGTCTTCAATGTAAACTCATTAATGATGTAGCTGTCAACTATAGTCATCTTTGTAATTTTTTTTATGCAGCACATTTAAATTCTCTTTCATCTGAATCAACTTACTAATACAGAGGAATTTTAAAATGTGGAAGAAAATTTTTAATTTGCTGAGAATAATTATGCTCTTTAGTAGAGTCTGCAAGGGGCAGTGATAGCGAAGATGAAGTTCTGCGAATGAAGCGAAAGAAACCAATTGCATCAGATTCAGAAGTGGACAGTGATGCAGAAGGACAGAAAGGTAAATGGCGGCATTGTTTTGTGGGTTTTTCGTTCATTTAATCCTCATCTTAATGCAGCATTCATCTGCTTTGGAACTTGATAAAATCAATAGCACTTGCTGTGCAGTGTAACTATAGTGCCATGGAAATAACAAAACAGCACAGCAAGAATTCTGTGTGGGGAAGTACACGCTGTATTTCTGCTGGTTATCTCTAGTTAGCTGTATCAGTTTCTCAGTTTCCTCCATGAGAGAGGGAGCTTTTGCTTTGCGGATGTTAGTTCACACATTTTTACTGAAAGATGTTAAGAAATGGTGCCTCTAATCAGAGCAGCCCAGAGAAGCTATACTGGCTTTTGTGATGTTTAGCTGGCTGAGAAAGAGGTGTTGATTCTTCTGGCAAGTAAAACCTCCAAAACATGTAATGAAGTTGCTGTTTACATATGTCTAAGTTGTTTACTTGAGTAAAGGATGATCTTATACTCTTGATTCTTCTGTTGCCATTTTCCAACTAGATTATCTTATTTGATAGAGCCTTTCCAGGAAAACACACCTTGAATCATTAGCTTAAAAAGACAAGGGAAAACTGTTTTTCAGGATAAGAGAATAATGTCTGTTTCATGAACATTTGCAGGTTTTAACCTGTGTAGGTGATTGTAGGTGGCAATAAAAGTGAAGGATGCGTTAATCTTTTTTTTTTTTTTTTTTTGGGGGGGGGGTTTTTTTTTTTTGGTGAGTGTGCTTGCATGTAAGGGTGTGTGTGCACATATATATGTATTTTAAAATAGAAATTTTTCTGCTCAAGAGCATGCAGATGTCATGGACCTGTTTGGAGGTGCAGATGACATTTCCTCAGGGAGTGATGGAGAAGACAAGCCACCAACACCAGGACAGCCCATTGTGAGTAGATTTGACTTTTGAAATAACTAACATGCCATTCCACTCTGAAATTTGGAACACTGGTGAAGTTGGATAATATTTTAGGGAAGAAAAGACTAACGGCACTGAGTAAGCATTACAGATAATTCTGCCCTACATTAAAGTTTTATGCATAGCAATATCAGATGGATTCATTTATCTGCCTTCCCCCATCCCTGCTCCACTTTTTGTACTTGAAAGAAATCTGCTGAGTAGTTTTGATTGTCATGAAGTAAAATACAAAGTCATAGCTGTCTTTGGTACCTTAGTACAGCTATTTGACAAATATTTCATTTTGGGTCTTGATGATAATACAGAAAATTATTTTTTTATCTGTGAAAAGTTGCCCCCCTTTTATTCTCCAGTCCTTAGCTGAAAACTGTATGTCAGCTCCTTTGCTGTCTCCTTCCTGTCTTTGGTCTCTTTTGAGTTTGCGCTGGTATTTGCAAACGTCAAATTTGCAAAATGGTATTTGCATACATCACTTTAAGTAGCATATGAAAATGCTGAATTGGAACGCTTTCACTAAAAATGTGCAAGCTCTTTTACCCAAAGCTTCCTAATCTCTCTCTGTGCATATAGATGACTTTTCTTCAAGCAAAATGTGTTTATTATAGCAACGGTAGCCAGATAGGGTTTTTTCACTTATGCTCCTGTTCACCTTTTTTTCATTAGGATGAGAATGGACTGAGTCAAGAACAGCAGGAAGAAGAGCCTATTCCAGAGACTAGAATAGAGGTTGAAATACCAAAAGTAAACACAGACTTGGGTAATGATTTGTATTTTGTGAAGCTGCCCAACTTCCTTAGCGTGGAGCCCAGGTAATTGCACATTACATACTTGACTGATAAGGTTTTTTAGTGTTTTACTATATTGCTTTTGTTTTAGTAATACAATTAAATATGTTGGACATATTTAAAGTAGTTGACATTTAAGTTGCGTGCTTTTGGTTGTGATCAGTCAATAGTAATATCTATTGTTGTTATCTAATTGAGTGCTGAGTAATTTTCTCTTGAGCTTGGGTTTCAGATTGGTTGAATAGTTTGTCTTTAAAAAAACAAACAAAAATATGATTTAATTGAAAGTACGTGCTGTCAGTTGAATTTTAAACGTAGGTTCAGGCTCTCAGAGATGTGAAAGCCAACTGTGCAGGACCTTTATGCACTTTGGAGTGATAAAAACATAATTTTGAATTTTAGAATAAGCCCTTTTTAATTTGTGTGTGCTAAATTTACTGTTTAACTATGAAGAGGCTGATTACTCATTTTCCTATTTACCTAATCCAAGCTAAAGAAATTTTCTGGAATTCATAAGGAGAAACAAAATGTTAGAGTTGTTTGCGATGTTAGGTTTGGCCCTAAAGCCCACCTTCAGCACTTCTAGTAAATTGCTGTTAAATCTGTCTCCTCAAGTGTTTTGTTAAGCAACTTTACTGCATCGTTTAAGAGGTGTCTTCTTAGCTGGCAGTGTAGCATTGTTTCTGTTTCATATTAGTTAGATCATTCTTCCTGGCTTTCACACTTGTCGTGGTTTAGCCCCAGCCGGCAACTAAGCCCCACGCAGCCGCTCACTCACTCCCCCACAGTGGGACGGGGGAAAGAATCGGAAGAAAGTGAGGAAACTCATGGTTTGAGATAAAGACAGTTTAACAGGGAAAGCAAAAGTCGCGCACGCAAGCAAAGCAACACAAGGAATTAATTCACCACTCCCCACGGGCAGGCCGGTGTTCAGCCATCTCCAGGGAAGTGGGGCTCGATCACATGTAATGGTTTCCTGGGAAGACAGATGCCGTAATTCCGAATGTCCCTCCACCCCCTCCTCCTTCTTTGTCCCAGCTTTATATACTGAGCATGATGTTATATGGTATGGAATATGTCTTTGGCCAGCCTGGGTCAGCTGTCCCAGCTGTGTCCCCTCCCAGCTTCCCGTGCACCCCCAGCCTGCTCGCTGGCAGGGCAGCACGAGAAGCTGGAGTGTCCTTGACTACTTAGCAACAACTCAAAACATCAGCCTGTTACCAACATTTTCTCATCCCAAATCCAAAACACAGCCTCACACTAGCTTCTTTGAAGAAAATTAACTCTACCCTGGCTGAAACAAGACAACGCTATAGACCATTTCAGGAGAGAACTGTTAAGAACCTGGTTAGTGGCTGCAATCAGCGAGAAAAGTCCTGAGGATCTTTGGGGGTCAGACAGAGCTGGAAATAGAATTGTACAGTAGCAGAGTCTGTTTATCTCTTCTTTCCCTTGCAGCAGCCTGGAAACTATTAGGAAGGAGGCTAAGGAATGGCCTTCCCCTACTCACTCCCACCTCGGCTGTCAGGTTTTTTGAAGGAAGAGAGGAAAAACAATTTCACCTTCCTTTCCTTTCAGTTGGTTTTGAGATTCAAATAAAAAAAGGACAAAGATTGTGATCTTAGAAAATCCCTAATTTACGACATTTATAAGATGATAAATTTTCTTCGTATTTTCTCAATATAATATTGTATATATTTTGTTCCAGACTTAACCTTGACCTCATCAACCTGATAGTGAGGAAACAGTATTTTCTGAGGCAGACTTGATTTCTTTAGCTAGAGCCATTTAGAAGGTCTGAATGTTAAAGTGGCTGTAATTGATGGGAGGGAAGACACTTGAGTAGGCCTCCCATGGTGTAGAATCAATGCAGTAAATTACATTACTGCAGAAATGGCTGTCACAGCTGCAGTACCTACTGTTGTGTGCAGTGTATAATTTAAACCTTTCAAGCACCTGTTATTTCACACAAGTCTAGAATAATCTGGATTAATTTTTAGAAGAATAAAGACTGTATTATATAATTTATTGCAGACCTTTTGATCCCCAGTATTATGAAGATGAATTTGAAGATGAAGAGATGCTTGATGAAGAGGGTAGAACTAGGTTAAAACTCAAGGTATAATGTCAGTTTTCGTTTTCTCTTTAACACTCATCTAGTCACATTTCTTCAGAGTCTGTTCCAGGTATTTTACAATGGCATTTTGAGTTACGGTTCAGATTATGAAAGTGTGAAGCAGTTCAGCACTGCGAAAAGTTGCTCCATTTTAGTAATAAATTTTAAAAAAAGCCTGACAGCTGCATTTCACCTATAAAAGCAATACCTTTAATTTCTTTGCACCATGCAGCAAATTTTCTAACTTTTCTAACTGTAATTCTTGACCTATACAGAGTATATTTTACCACAGTATTCCTTCCTATGAGTTAGAAAAAGTGTTTTGGTGTTTTTTCCCACAGGTAGAAAACACAATACGATGGCGGATGCGACGAGATGAGGAAGGGAATGAGATCAGAGAAAGTAATGCACGGATAGTCAAATGGTCAGATGGAAGGTTAGTTTGGACTCTTTGCTATTGAAGGAATAAGTTGTTCTTACAGGGAAATGCCATGGCATGCAAAACTGGCAGGTCAGCAAATTTTGATGTCAGTTCTGCACAGCAGAAATTGTTTTAGTCTCAGTGCTTTGAAAATTTTGGGCTCTGCTTAGTTTGGATTGAAATATGATTATTTGCTATATGTAAAAAGGAAACATGAAGGCTTCTCCATTTATCAGTGAGGCAAAAAATAGACTGTAGTGACTTTATCATGTAACTGATACATGACTCTCTTTTAAGCATGTCTCTCCACTTGGGCAATGAGGTCTTTGATGTGTACAAGGCGCCACTACAGGGAGATCACAACCATTTGTTTATCAGACAAGGGACAGGTCTGCAAGGACAGGCTGTTTTCAAGACAAAGTTAACCTTCAGGTAAACATGCTATTCTATATCAAATGTTGATACTACTTCTGCAATTAAGTGTTGTAACTAGTATATCAAAATTAGAGGTACCAGTTCGTAAACCTTCAGAGTTTAACTGTTCAGTAAGAATGTGCTATTTTCCAAAGTCAGTATTTTGATGAGAGTTTTCCTAAATTAGGTGTCCCAATTTGAAAGGTTAATATGCCGTTTGCTGCAATTTGTAGGCTACATGTATTTTTTCAATATACATTTTAATTTCCATTTTTAAGTCCAAGTCCTTATCTGAGTGAGAAACAATACTAATATTCCCTGAAATTAATGTTTCTTCTGATGCACAGTTGCTATCAAGATGATGATTTTGTCCTGGGACATTGATGTGAAATGTGAGGATGATTATTTAGGCTGGTAATGGTCTGCAGATGTTTTGCTGAGAGAGGAATTGGTGTCTCCAGTAGCTGTTAAGATGCACATAAATAAATAAAAAAGGATGATGCTTTTACTTCTGTGCAGATGAACCTTTAAAATCTTAAGTATGCAGGCCCTACCATTATCCTTTAAAAATGGATACACTCCTTTAAGAACTACTTAATCTATGGCAATTTTTTAACAGGCCACACTCTACGGACAGTGCCACTCACAGGAAGATGACTCTGTCTCTGGCAGATAGATGTTCAAAGACCCAGAAAATTCGTATTTTGCCAATGGCAGGTCGTGATCCAGAGTCTCAGCGCACAGAAATGATTAAGGTATTGTGGGATGAAACTCTTATCTGCAGATTTAAATCTAAAAAGTCACAAATGTAATAAGCTGAACATTTCAGAACATTTTATGACTTTATGAAAAACAGAGTGTATTTTGGAGTTATAGACAAGAGTTGGTATAGGTGCAGTTTGCTTAACCTTACAGATTACAAAAACATCAGAATATGTACAGTCTTTACCATGCTGTGAAATTATTTCAAAAGCTACATTAGCATACCAGCTGCTCTTGAGTATTTTTTTACTTTTCTCAATCTTTATATATTGCTGCTTTCTTTGGACAGAAAGAAGAGGAGAGATTAAGAGCTTCCATTCGTAGAGAATCTCAGCAGCGAAGAATGCGGGAGAAGCAGCATCAGCGTGGTCTGAGTGCAAATTATTTAGAACCTGATCGTTACGATGAAGAGGATGAGGGTGATGATGCAATCAGTCTAGCAGCTATCAAAAACAGATACAAAGGTGGCATCAGAGGTAATAATAAACCTTACCAGCACGTATGTAGGGCCTGTGTTATTCAGATGGATTAATTTCACAAGAGAATCCTGGTAAGATTGTATTTTGCCAGTTCATTTCGTACAGGAGGAGACATGAATTCAGTTCATATTAAGTTTATTTTGTTTACTCTCGTCTTAGATTCTGCCAGCTTTTTGTGGGACTAAATGTAAGAGAATTATTTTTAATAATCTCTCTTCCTCACCAATTTCAGATAAAGATAAATATTTGTCTCTTCATTTTGGTCTGTAGAGGAACGTGCTAGAATCTACTCTTCTGACAGTGATGAGGGCTCAGATGAAGATAAAACACAAAGACTACTCAAGGCAAAGAAACTTACTAGTGATGAGGTAAGAAGAGGGTTTTTTTCTTAAGCTACTTGTTTTCAGTCAGGAACACTTCCTGCACTAAATCTAGTTTTTAAAGCTGAGGCTTTTGTAGTTTCCTTTATGCTGTGATGAATGTATTATGTACGAAGGGGGGAGGGGTTAAAACCAGGCTCACTAAAGTTGAGCCTAGGGGTGGCGTGC